ATCAGAGCTGAACCAGCACCCCAGAGAGCCAAGGACGTGATAAATACTTGGTTTTATCTAAGCTAATATTTATTAAGGGTCTGCTCTGGGTCATGTTAAGATGGTCCTGGTAGCCTGGCCATGATAAACTGGAGCAGGGGAAGATCAGCAACAAGGAGGCCAGTGAGAAGTAATAGCTGTATTGTAGTAATGCAGGTGAGAGCGGGACTTGAGAAGAATGGGGAACCTGAGGTTGTAAGGACAGACGGTTGGCTGTAGAGATGAAGGTAAAGAAAGATCAAAGGAAGATCCACACGTTTCTTCTGCGGAGTGCTTAAAACACGACCAACTAAACTGGGACTATTGGAATGAGTGTTGAGCCCGAGATGGGAGGATGTCATCAGATTGAGGCATGTGGAATGTGAGAGGACAGTAGTACATCCTAAGAGAGAGGCCCACTGGACTCAGTTTTCCAAGGGGGATGCTGGGGCTTGTGCAAGTTAGCTTGTTGGGCTCAGCCCCCACCACCACACATTTTGGAATAAAGTTTAGTTGAAATTGTCATCATGGACAGCTCTGAAAAGGAAAAAAATGAGATAGATGTAGAAATACAGAAAAACATTCTCCTTGACCTCATGAAAGGGGGAAGGGGACCCTATACCCGCTCCCAGACCCCCATTCTGAAGGGCGGGAATGAAAATGAGACTTAAGATCTTTTTAAACTCTAGCTGGCAGCACCACCACTTCCTCTAGTCACAGCCCAGTAAAATAATAACCTTATGTGCTGGGGTCAGCCCTGCTTTAAAAACACAGGCTTAGAATAGAGATACAATTAGGGAGAAGGATGCAAAGAATGATTTAAAACGTGAGGGCCACACCTGGGTGACACCCATCTTGGAAGGTGGACGAGATCACAGAGAGAGTGTGTATAAAGTGATCCGTGCAGAAACTTTAGGGGGCACCCTGGGGAACACCAATGTTTAAGTAAGTGGCAAGCAGAAGAGGAGCGGGAAAGACTGCGAAACAGTAATCGGGGAACTGCAGGTGGTTCTCTGCCTGCGCTACAAAGTGCGAGTGGTTCTGGAGGAGATACAGGTGAGGTGAGCAGAAACCAGGAGGCGGGACATTTCTTCCCTGCGCTTGATGAGACTCTCCTCCTTGCAGGGAATCACTTCAGTTACTGCCATTACGGCGCTCTACCTCCTGTCCTGGAGAATCCCCCTTCCTCGAAGGACCAAGATGGCCGCCGTGACGCTGCTGGCTTTGGCATACACACAGGTATAAACCATCTCTTTTTGGTCTGAGGTTGGCCCCAAAACAAAGTTGAAAAGGAAAGGTAACAGGCTAGGAGAAAATATTTTCAGTACTTATAATAAAGTCAAAGATTAAAAACCAGAAAATAAAATAAGAGTATTAATACACAGTTCTCACAAGAGGAATGATGACTGGACAATGAATATATGATCGGGGAGGAGCAAATGAAAACAGTGCATGCCATTTTGTGCTTGTCAGATTGGAATCGAAAAAGAAGATAATCAGGTACGGGCACAGGTATAGGAAACTGGATGCCTTCATACATTCTTGGTGAGAGCATGAATTGATACAGTGTTTTTCAGAGGGCTATTTGGCAGTATCTTTTGATATGTGAAATGTATAATCCTTTGGCCCAGCGAAGTGACTTATTAGTCCCTGCCCTAGAGATATTCTCATGCACAAAGAGCTATATATCCACAAGGAAATTCATTTTAGAATTGCTGTGATGGTGAAAAATTGTAAAACAACCTAAATAGTTAAATAAACGACTATGGTAAATTTATGCTGTGGAATACTGTACAGCAGTTTAAAATAATAAGATTTGAATACCTATATTGTTAAGTGAAAAAGAAAAAAGGCAAGTGACAGAACAATATATTTTTGAAAAGCACAAAACTGTGTTTCTCTAAAAACATTTATACAAAAGTACAAGTGTGTAGAAACGGGTAACAGTGACGATCTTTGAGGAGGGGAACTGGGATAGGGTGAAGGATAATTAAGGGAAGTTTCAGGTTTTTCTGTTTTGTTTGTAATCCCTTCATTGTAAGTATATTTACTTGTGAAATGAAAAA